ACAACTGGCCGTCTCTTCGCGCCAAATATCTTCAAACTGTACATGCACAGAGAACAGCCAAAGACACTGTCAGTGGAGGGGTCGTGTAATCAGAAAACTGCCTTTTTTCAAAAAAAAAGAAATTAACAAATTTTTCTTTTAACAATCTTTTTCAACAAAAAACAAATTTTTTTTCTTTCAAAAAAATGTTTCAATTTTAACAATTTTTAGTTTTCATTTACTCATACAGGACCAATTTCATGAAATGGTGCTAGTAGTGGAGCATCAGATTTAAAGCGAGTGGTTGCTGTTGGCATCTGGTGCCATTTGGGCTATTTCCGTGCCTCTCAAGAAATGAATTTGGGCAGAAGTAGTTGAGGCCAGAATGCGTTTTTTGAAAGAAACGGCGCAAATGAAGACTGATCCTAATTCAGTTACGGAAAAAAAGTTAAGATTAGAGTGCCAGCTACATCTGGCACATACAATTTTAATAATTATAAAAAAAACGCGGCTCAGCTTGGCCGAGCAATGCGTACTCAATTTTGGACGAAATGCACTCGTATTACGGGTTTGAACGAGAGTTACAACAATCGCAGTCGTACTCCAGTACCCCGTTTTTTGTGTTGCTGAAATTTTGGAATGTCGAATGAGCTTTGCCCAAGCACCTCATTTCTTGATTAGCATCACAAACCCTATTAAACCTCTTCCCCGCCCTTCATCATTCCTTTCCCCTTCTATCCAGTTCATATTTCTAAGCAACATCTCTGCTCCCTCCGTGGTTTTCAAGTGTGCGCGGTCTCACGTGCAGACTGATGAAAATTTTTTGCGGGAAAGTTGATTAGTCGGGAACCTGAAAAGCTAGAAAGCTGAAAATTTATTAAGGGGATGTTTCCTGTCCACATAAAACCTAATAACTTCAAACACGGCCCAGGCCTCTCCTCCCTGTTACTCCTCCTGCTACTTAAATCAGCATCTTCGGTATCCCCACTAACACTTACCCTTCCGTACAATTCAGCTGGGTATTATTACAACTAATATCGCTACTCGCGCAAGTTGCACCCAATCCTGGCCATCGCACCCAATTCTGGCCAAGTCGAACCGAGTTTTAGTAACTGCCAATAAATGCATACTGTAAGGCAACAACCGCCACGTGGACCA